TCTGCTGTATACAGGAGGTAGGCTGAATATGCATCATACCGGCGCTTCACAGAACATCGAAGGACGCCGGCATTTTTGAAAGGGCTTGGACAACAATGTCGTTTTCCTGATGCGTCGTTTGCCGGCTGCGCAAAATGGGCCGGCGGCAGCTGTGCGGCCTGTATACGTAAAGGAATGCGCCGCGCTGGTGGATTTGATTTGCATGCTTAAGGCCAATGGTCGACATTGCATTTCCGCTTGGAACGTGTGCGTCGCTCGCACTGTGTGTGGGTGTCCGCTTCGTTACGTGCAGCCGAGTGGCACAGGGTTTGCATTGTTTGGCGGTATCCGTTTTTGCTGGTTGACGGTGCCCAAATAGAGTTGGGGGCCGGCGTACTTATCGTCTTCAGATTATGCCTGGTTGGGCCACGCTTGACTCCGACTGTTTTGGAAGAGACCTATGGGCTCCTGCTGCACACAGGAGGTACGCTGAGGCCGTAGGCCTGCCCTCGGCATGCCATCCGAAGATGAAGGCGTGAATCGCAGTGCGATTCATTGCGCTCATGTGTCATTTTCAGGTTACGTCGGATGGGCCGGTGGGCGCCTGCGTGTCTTTGCAGAGTGAGTTGTTTTGTTCTCTTTTGCTTCTGTCGCTTATGTCAGTATTCGATCGCTGATTTCCGCTTTGCATGTTTCCGTAGCGCAAGTCGAGTTGACGCGTGAAATGCCTATCATCTCTAGATTTTGCATTTTTGCGCCAGCATCCACATCTAGCGCTTATGAAGAGAAATGCGGTCCGGTGCTGCACACAGCCAGTACGCTGGCTGCTGATACCAGGGTTCCACAGGACATGAAAGGAGGCAGGCATTTTCAAAGGCTTCAAGGGCACCACCATTTGCCTGCTGCGTCGTCTCCATATCGTGCCTGATGAGCTAGTGGTAGATTCAGTGCCTGCATGCGCCATGAACTGAGCTGTGTTGGTGGATCTCATGGCATGTTTGAGTCGAATCCTCGACAGCGCTTTTCCGCTTGGAACGTGCGTGTTCGTTCCCGCATTGCATGATGGGACACTCCCCCCCTTCACTCTACTGGCGCAGGTTTTGCTCTATTTGGAGGCGTCAGTTGATGCGTATTCGCCTGGCGCAAGTACTGCTCACGTCTGGCGGGGTTATCGCCTGGTTCCGCCGGGTTGCGCCAAGCGTGACGTCGACTGTTTAGGGAGAGCCCTGCGGACTCCTTCTCACACAGACAGTACGCCGTTTCCTCATTTCCGGGCTCCACAGGAGGTCAACAAAAGCAATCACTTTCGGAAGGTTTGATCGGCACCTGCAGTTTCCTGATTCGTCGTTTCCACGTTCTCTGCGATGACCGGGTGGCAGCTGTGCCGCCTCTATGAGTTATGAAGTTGGCTGTGTTTGTGGATACAATGGCACGCTTTACACCAATCGTCGACNGAGTAAGGCAGGGCCTGCGTCATATGAGTGCATTCCTTCTTGCGTGTTGGCACAATGGAAATCGAGTTGATGGCTGACGTGTTTATCGTCTCTAGAGTGTGCGAGGTCGTGCCAAGCTTGACGTGGACTGGCTAGGAGTATACCAGTGAAATCCTTGTGCTGTATACAGGCGGTACGCTGAAAATGCATGACACTGGCGCTTCACAGAACATCGAAGGACGCCGGCATTTTTGAAAGGGCTTGGACGACAATCTCATTTTCCTGATGCGTCGTTTGCCGGCTGCGCAAAATGGGCCGGCGGCAGCTGTGCGGCCTGTATACTTTAACGAATGCGCCGTGCTGGGGGATTTGATTTGCATGCTTAAGGCCAATGGTCGACAGTGCATTTCCGCTTGGAACGTGTGCGTCTTTCGCACTGTGTGTGGGGCCGCTTCGTTGCGTGCAGCCGAGTGGCACAGGGTTTGCACTGTTTGGCGGTATCTGTTTTTGCTGGTTGGCGGGGCCCAAATATAGTTGGAGGCCGGCGTGCTTATCGTCTTCAGATTATGCCCGATTGAGCCACGCTTGACTCCGACTGTTTGGAAGAGACCTGTGGGCTCCTGCTGCACACAGGAGGTACGCTGAGGCCGTATACCAGCCTTCGACATGCCATCCGAAGATGAAGGCGTAAATCGCAGTGCCATTCATTGCGCTGATGCGGCGTTTCCAGGTTACGTCGGATGGGCTGGTGCACGCGTGCCTGTATTTACAGAACGGGCTGTTTCTTGGGGTTTCCTGCAGTTTCTATGCAAGTATTCAATCGTGCATTTCCACTCTGGAATAATACATCGTTCCTATATAGTCGGATGGAAAATACCCTTGCGTGGCACGTTTTGGAATCAGGCTAATGGAGCATATATGCGTTGAAGGTATGAATGACTTCCACCTTGTGTGCTGGAGCCATCCCTTCAGCTTTGGGTGGGAGTTGCGACTACTGCCTCACCTACACATGGAAAACCCCGATCCGTCATACGAGCGCGTGACACAGCGACAGGAGAGGGCGACAGTTTTCGAAGGGTGATGCGACGGTTCCATTGGTTTCAGCATGGATGGCGCTATTGAATTTTCTGTGTCCTTGTGGTTTACCGTTGGGTGAAAGCTGAAGCGATGTTTTGCAAGTATTTTCTGACGCTCTACTGCGCGAAAGTAAAGAAGAGCTGGAAGCAATGCCTATCTGGAGTTTTAGTTTGTAAACCCCGAACAGGTACCGTCTTCATTCGGTAGTTGCGGCTGGGAGCTGACAAGCTGGCGGAGCCACCTACGTTGCGCACCTGGTAGCTAAAGAAGCAGAACCACTCAAACGTGGCATAACACAACTCACCACTGCTGTTTAAAAGGAAGGCGTGTAAATTCGCAGGAAGTGGGTTCTTGGCTCCATTCGTACTACGTTACTATCCATTGATGCCTCGTTACCCTCAATCCGCTGATCTGGTTTTGCCGCTTGCTTGCGCTCTCATCCAGTCCTGTTTTCCACTGCCGATCCTGGTTGCAGTATGCTTTTTCTCAGTGGTGGATGTGATGTGTACAGTAAGTGAGTTTCCTGCCCGCTCAGTCTTTGCTGCAAAATTGTGGCCCCAAGGCAACGCAAGCGTTACATTTTCCTGCTCCAAAGTCGGTAAAAAACGCCAGCATACTGGTCAGTTGTGTAGTGCGGAATCATGGTGGGCACCGACGTATGACGTTCGCCTGTGTTACCGTGGTGCTACTGGCTACCCCGAGGAATAACTTCGACACTAAGCCGCCGTCGGAAGTAGCATATGTAAACTTTCAGCCGCCCAAGTTGGCAGGCCCACCTGCTCTGCGTGTTACCACTGAAAGGGTAATCTTGTTGTCACCAGAGCGCCCCGTGGACCCGTCGCATGTGCTTTCAAAGTGGAGATAGCATCACCTCAGCTTCAGTGATTTGTGTTGTTCCAGAGACGCATGCAGGTGGAATCAGGAATCAGCGAGGACACAGCTCGAATGGAATGGTAATAGGTGGTCCCTTTGTCCACCGCTGCTCCAATAACGTTGGGAGAAGAATTGTTCAGTGACGGAGTTGTTGTGAAGTTGCATTAGCCAGTGCGCCTCTACATCACTTGTCATTCCGTTTCTTCGAAACATTACTTCCACACAGTAGGACTGCAACGCCCGGTGCGTTGTGCAAGTTGCCATCCCTGGGCAAGCACCGTTCAGTATTTCATGCTTGCCCGCTCCTCCACAGTAGTCAGGTGTTGCAAATTCGTCGACGGGAGCGCACGGGAACTTTCAAAAAATGTATAGATGGAGCGCCCTCAAAGCAGCTCCTCTATTTGCAAATGCCGTGTGACTTGAACACCGAATTTGCTAAAGTCAGGTCTTTGAATTCGCCAGACGATAAACACGTAACAGCACTGCTTGTCAACTATGGTCTCTAAAGAAACGCTGAGGATGTAGGGAAAAACAACTGCTTGTTAAGCCGCTAGAGTGCAGGTAACTCGGCGGCGGCCAGTGCAGGCAGATAGGAACCTAAAAAGCGTGCGTTTTGAGCGAAAAGTCATCAGTCACAAGCACACAAATACGTACACTATACCTTTCGCACTGGTAAATACCGGCGATGCCTCTTTAGGGAAGTACGCAAAAAGCAGAATTCCCTCACACGTTAATACCTGTACAAATGGCTTCGCCCGCCCACAGTGTAAACAACTGCATCAACGGGTGCATTCCCACACACTACGCAGCGGGAAAGCCGATTTTCATCCCAACAAACGTGCTCATAGCAACAACACTTCGAAAGTATCTAACACATTAGTTCTCCCGCCTTGTGTTTCAGAGACCATCCCGCATCTTCAGGAACATTTCTGGCCGTCCAACAGTAGCCGCCCGGGGTCATGGAGCATACAACTTCTTCCTCTGACGCGTATCTGAATGTATGCGACGCGGGCGAGTTCGCTCTTGAAATCCTCGACGGAGAAATGCAAAAAACGTAGTGCGAAGATGACATTGCGTAAAGAGGGACATCAGGTTGAAAATCAGGCGTCATCCGTGTTGATAGCTCTATTCAAGAGCAGCAAACAAATTCACATTATGAATCCTCGTGCTTTTCCTCATTCGGACTTTCACACAGTGGTTTTCTAGTCATATGTTAGCCTTAAAGATAACTCCCGTAACTTTCTCCGTAACTTTCTCCCGCCTTAACGTAAGCCTTAAAGATAACTCCTGTAACGCCTGTAAGGTCCCTCAGAGTGGGGGCGCCGGAGCTTTTGGTTCCGCGCGGATGCTGTTGGAGACGGCAACCTGACGCTACCTCGGCGGGAGCGTATCCGCTCCTGTTGCCATCTCGTTGGCTGCTTCTGAATATGTGACACGGACTCGCTCCGTTCTCGATATGGCCGTCCCGTGGCAGTGGCCGCCGTTGGGACAGACGCGCCTTCTATGGGGACGGGCGCACCTGAAGGGCCCCCACGTGACCCTACAAATTCATCCAATGGTGAAGAAGCAGCGGCTGTCTCCCTGTCCTGAGCCCTTGGCGCTGGTGGTGAAGCAAACTTGCCACGCGAATGGGGCTCCGCTGTTGGAGGTGAATGCGCATCCAGCCCATATGCCGTAGACTGTGACCTCATACGCGTCCCCCTACACCGCAGGCTCTGCACGCAACGGCGACACACGCGACACAAGCCAGTCCGGCCACGATAACAGCGAAACGGCTGCTGTCACAACTAGTAGTAAGCTTGTGTCTACGGATACACATCGATGAGCCTGCCGAACAGAAGCAAAGACAACGGAGCTTACATCTATAGACACCGCCAAAGAACGCGCCCACAAAGACACAGTGTTCTCCTCTGACGCGAAAAGTAGGTAACAGTTGTCTTTCACACTGGAGTAGATGAGCATGTCCTTTCCTTCGGTGTATATTTCGCCGTCAGTTGCAAGGACGACAGTTTTCTGCACAGGCCAAATAAGGTACAAGGCATACACTAGGATGAATGTTTCCTCTAAAAGCTAGAGAAAGCCCCGTGTGCATACTGGCACAACCTCTACACCAATGTCCCCTCAGCGTCAGTATTTGAGATGTCTATCCCACTAGCTTGTGTATCTCCCTGTATTCAGCGTCTACTTCCATTTGTTAGTTACGCACAATGTGTACCCTTACCCGAAGAGTTCTGCCGTTTGGGTCCATCAGCAGCAGCCGTCCCCCATCTGTCAGTACTGCGAGGCAGCGCTGGGGCTGCAGTTGGCAATTCCTCTTGTGGCTCTTCCCAAACAAGCGAATGAAAAGCCGTTCACAGAAGCTTCTGTGTTCTGCAAAGGCGCCAGAACACCATCAAAACATACACTTTAACAAGGCCTCGAACCAAGCGCTTCGGTGCAGCTTGCACATACATGTCTTCCACTCACGCATTCATTCGCAGTGACGAAACACTCACGGCATTTAGAGGGCAACAGCCATACAGATACGCATCATTAGAAGGCAAACAACTGCCCATCACTGCACTGACACGCTCATATATCTCACCTCTCATACGCAGCAGGACGCCATGGTATTGCATCCTTTCCCCCTTCAGCAAGCACTTTGCCACGTACGGCGGGGTGTCTTCGGGTACGGGGAGGGGGCCTCTTTGAGTGCCCTGCTTATCTCTGAAACTGGTGCTGGGCAACCCAGACTGCTGCAAGCCCTCAGGAGAGGGAATGTTGCTGCCTGCAGCAACAGATGCCGCCCGAACGGGGCCTTCTACAGCTGCTACTGCTCCCTGTTCTGGTCGAACTGCTGTTGTTCCCGGTGCTGCTCGAGCTGGTGCTGCTTGTTGTGCTGCCCGGGCAGGGCTGTCACCATCAGGCTCCGAATAATCTGCACTGCAGACAGCGCGAAGGCGCAACGGGGGGCCCCAGCCAAGGACTGCATCTGTCACAGAGCGGCGGCAGGCGGGTTGAGGTTCTTCTATTGACTCGGACCGCACAGGCATGATCTCGGCCTCCTGCCGCTGCCCGTGTTCTTGTTGTTCTTGCGTATCTCTACCCTCCCTGAACCCCCCACTACTCATCCGCTTCCATGTGTAGGCACCGTTCCCCGTGATGCTTTGCATGCTGGTGCTGCTGCTACTGCTGCTGCTGCTCCTGCAGCTCTGCCCTGGAGAAATTGGGACAGAGTCAGGGTCCTCCCCACAGCACACGCATGCCTTGCTGCTGTCGCAGCAATCACAAACATGTGGAGAGTCTGCTGCTGCGGACTTCAGAGGGGAGAAAGGGCAGCCAATCGAAGGTGTCAGCTCCGCATCCAGCGCAGCAGCAGACACAGCGGCTACTGCTGCAGCTGCTGCTGCATCAGTTTCATCTCCAGCAAACCCAGCCTGGCCACAGCCTGCTGCTGCAGCTGCTGCAGCTCGGCTAGCACGCCCTGAACCCTGGAACGCAAAGGCATACTGCATTACGTCTATGGGCAGAGGGTGAAAGTGCAGCGACATGCAGTCGATTCCGTTGAAGAAGGGGTGTTCAAGAAGTTCCTTTATATCTCGCGACCCCAGTCGCTCCTCCTCCTTCGGGCGCAGCAGTCCTCGTATGAGGTCTGCTGCAGCTGCAGGCAACTGCTCCGGCAGCGACAGCTCCTGGGCACCGCAGACGGCGCTGGCAAGAGCAGGCGCTGACTGGCCTTGGAAGGGGGGCTCCCCCAGCAGCAGCTCATGTATCACGCAGCCAAGGGACCAGCAGTCTGTCCCGAAGCCGCAGCCGAACTGCTGCTGAGCCGCTGCCTCTCCATCAGAGTCGAGAGATACAAACAACTCAGGAGGCGCATATGCGGCTGTTCCCGCATACGGATACATCACAGCACTACCCCTGCTGCTGCCCCCTTCCAGGCCTTCCCTTACACGACCTGGCTCGCTTTCGCACCGGTTCCTGCTGCTTCGGCTCCCGCTGCTGCTGCTGCTGCTACTGCTGCTACCACTGCTGCTGCTGCTAGTGCTACTGCTGTTGTTTTGGCGCAAAAGTCCCACAGACGAAGCGGGCCTCTCGGCCTTTTGCAGCTGTTGCCGGTGTTCCTTCGCGAGGTGTTGCTGCTGCTCATGGCGCGAGTTCGCTCGCGCACCCTTCTGCTGCTGCTGCTGCTTCTGCGTTTGCTCAGGTGGCTGTTGCTGCTGCTGTTGCCAGCGCTGTTGCTGCCGGTTGGTGAGACAGAGAGCGGAGTCAAAGTCGACGAGGGTGAGGTGGCCATCGTGGCTAACGACGATATTTTCAGGTCGAATGTCTCTGTGCAGTACGCCTCTCTTCCTCATGGCTGCGAGAGCAGCAGCAGTCTCTGCTGCCCAGAGTCTTGCGGCCCCCACCGACAAACTGAGGCCCGCGCAGCTCAGCCGCCTCAGCACGTCCCGCAGCGAAGCAGAACCAGCGTAATGCAACACGAAAAACAGGCTGTCTGCTGTCTGGTATGTACGCCGCAAATGAACAACACTCGGGTGCACCGATCGACCCCCCCCACTCAAAGCTACAAGTGCTTCCTTCTCCATCAACACCTGGCGCCGCAGCCGACTGCGAGACCGCAAAGGATGCTTCGACACCTGAAACACAACCAACACGCAACGCAATACACACACTCCTAGAGCAACAGCAACTGCAGCAGCAGCTGCACCACCAGCGACAGCAGGAGCTGCAGCAGCACCAGTAACAACAGCAACGGAAACAGTAGCAGCAGGAACAGCGCCAGCAGCACAAGACCTGTTTGCGCGGGGACTAGCAGTCGCAGCATGGCATGCAAGCATGCTGTAGCAGCACCTGGAGCACAGCAGCAGCAGCAGCAGCAGCAGCAGCAGCAGCAGAGGTAAACGCACCACCTTCACGGCGACGCTGTCCCCCGATGCTCTCTCTGTGCAGCGAAAAACGCGGCCAACGGCGCCTCTCCCCAGCAGCGCGATCGGCACGTACGGAGAAGAGGCATCGAAGTCCCGGCAGGCAAATTCAAAAGATGAGGTCCACTGAGCCCTCTCCAACCCAGCACAGCTTGCTACCTGCTGCGCTGCTGCTTCTGTTGCTGCTGCTGTTGTTGCTGCTGTTGTTGCTATTGCTGAAGCTGATGCCGGCGGCGGCGAAACAGGACTCGCCTCGCGAGTAGTCGTAGTATCCGCTAGGGGGTCCTTTCTGTGAGCAAACTCAGACGACGGCCGTCGCTTGTGCCCCTGCTGCTGCTCCTCCTGGTGCTGCTGCTGCGGCCTGTGTTGCTGGTGGTTTTGCTGCTGCTGCTGCTGCTGGGCAGTCGCGTCCCCACTCCCAGCCTGCCCCACAAGCTGCGAATCGATGCCCTTTTCTGGCGATTGCCGCCGAAGTTTGTGTGATTGCGAACGCCTGTGATGATGTTTGCGTCTGTGTTGCTGCTGCTGCTGCTGCTGCTGCTGCTGCTGTTGCTGCCCTTGCTGCTGCTGCGACGCCGGGTTGCGCCTTCCGTACGAACGGCGACGGCCCCCTGTTGCGCCTTCCGGCACATTTGTACCTGTGGGTCGTGGTAACGTTTCCATGTTACTACTACTGCTGCTGCTGCAACTCCTGTTGCAGCAGCAGCTTCTGCTGCAGTCGCCTGCAGGCGACGCATTGGATGAGGGGTTTGTCTGGGGTGTCCTCCTCGGCTGACTTTCCCTGGGGAGTTCCATCAGCAACAAGAAAAATATCTGCCGCTTACTCCCTCTCCCCTTCTGTCTGTTTATGGCTTCTGTGCTGCTCGTTTATACAGAGGCAGCCACGACACATTGGGCGCTGTTGCTGCTGCTTCTACTGGTGGGTGTTTTCACTGTCGCAAGCCGTTGCAGCATCTGCTAGCTGCGGGCAAACACAGCTGACAGCTGTTGTTGCTGCTGCTGCTGCTGCCGAGTTGGCTTCACTGCCTCTGCGCTGGGGGCCCCACCCGCCGCTTTTGCTGCTTCGTCGGGCCCCCCGTCAGCCTGTGGCCTGACAGTACAATTCAACAAGAGAAACAAATCGATGGATGCCTAGAAGCTGTAGCAGCGACGCTTCCAACCACCAGCGCCAGCCAACCACCAAGGTCAGCTGGGGGGCCCCCGGCTGCTGTCTTCTCGCCGTGACGCACCGCCCGATGAAGACCTGCTGCTGCTGTTGCTGCTGCTGTTGAGTCGTACGGAGCCTACAGCGGAACCAACTTGAGAGAAGTCAACACACGCAGCGCACCGGCCCCAAGTGGGGAGTTGTGTTGCCTGCAGCAGCTGCTGCTGCTTAGCCTTAGCGTTTTTTTTAGCTTCTGCTAAGGCCCCAGACAGATCCATAAACACTCAAACAGAACACAAACAAACAAACCCCTCCTCTATATATAATCTTTGCTGCTCCCCCCACCCCGCTCGCGCCTGGGCTGCGCTGTAGGCAGCAGCTGCGACGGCTTCAGAGCGGCGGTCTTGGCTTTCCGGATTCTTCCATTTGACTTAGTTAAAGGGAGAAACCCATTTAGGTGAAGGAGAATCATTGATCCAGATGTTCTCAATAAGGTGACAACATACAGGTGTACTTATAACGTACGGGGAGCCGAGAGGGAAGCTTCTTGTTGCAGTCAAGCGGACGTTGCCGTTTTGCTTTTCACCATTAAGTTTCGTTGCCCATCCTCATCATAGTTCTTTTTTATTGATTATATCTTTAATTGTAGTGTAATGACTTGCTGGCGCTTAAATTTTTCCTCAGGAAGCGCAGCACTGCCCGCGGCGGTGATGGTAGGTCACCTTGTCTGGTTTCGTGTATTTGTTTGACCTTCTTGTTCGTCTTCTAATTCAGAAAAACGGTTTTTCGACATTTTCTGTTTAATCAGAATAGGGATGGAGATGTTTTCTACATTCGATCTGTTCCTCTTGTCGCTGCGCACACATTAGGCATATGTATTATTTACATGCTGTACGTAGACGTGACCCAGTACAGGAGAAACGTTATCACTTACTTCTCAAATCAAGCAAAGAGGCGGCAACCTTTAGTGGTTGCTGCTGCAACTTGCCCCAGCCCGTTTTTCGTTTCTCCCTCCCTACAGCTGCACACGGGCCATGTAGCAGCGCTTATAATACTAACGAAGAGGCACAGTCGCCATATGGTTATTTACATTTAATCCTCTCAAGTTCATTCTGCATGCAGAGCAGTGGTGACGTCGTGCTAGTCACTGCTCACACAGAAAAGGAAGAAGTGGGGAAACGCAACTCTACCCTCCTGTGTTCCCGTTCAAGTTCACAGAGTTAGTGTAACGAGAGTCTCGGTCTTCTGCGATGACAGCTGGGAGTTGTGATAAAGTTGAAATGCTTGAAATAAGAGTTTCCGCCAACTGGGTTCCCCAGCCCTCACCAGGTTTCGTGGGTCAGCGGCCAGACGGTAAGGGCGTGGGGACGGGGAAGGGGATATGCCTGGGCACGAGCTGCAACGCACACTGCTGCAACTCTTTCTGCAACGCAACTCCACATACATGGACGCCCAGGGCCTATTGCTGCATGCATTAACACCATAGACCGGTGTTGAGCATTCAGTTGCTAGCCTGCACTCAAGTAGGAATACACGGACCAGCGCAATATATATATATATATATATATATATATATATATATATATATATATATATATATATATATATATAT